ATATTTTATTATATGCTAAATATTCCCCTCAGTGATTGGTTGACACCTGAAGAGGATGAGTGCTTGACATCCACTTTTTTATGGAGGGTGATGCTCCTCTCTGCCAGCTGAATGTGTAAATAAATTCACGATTAGCTAACATATTCAATACAAGAGCCTTGTTAACAATAAAACAATRTTTACAAAATTATAATCACGCACCCTTAAAAGTACAAACTACTCATAGAAAAAAAAACATTGCAATCAGTAAAACTAGCACTCACAAATACATCACTGCAGCCTATTTTAATTAAGCAAAGCCAGCAGAAACTGAACATCAAGAGAAAACAGAATTAAGTTGTTTGATAAGATCTTTGCTGTTTTCACAGACCAGTCCATGAGTGTCTTAAGAGAAGACTCTGACCCGCTCAAACTGCCAAACCAAAGGCTGAGCTGTAAGAACACACAACACTACTCAAACCTCTTTTATACTTATTTYTCAAGACATTATTAAGACATCTTAAGAGTTTTACATGTTTAACTCATATTGTGTAAATTATATAAACATATTTGGGTGCTTCTGAATGGTTTTATTTTTCTCAGTTAGCTCTGAAATCAGACGGATTGTTAACATTGTACAAGTATGTTTCCCTATAGCTGATTTACTGTTGCAGTCTCTTAAAGCCTGCAGTTTCTACAGTATTTCCCTCTTATCCCAGAAGCAGAGAGGCTGCTTAATGCTAAGTGCCAATTAATGGCCCTCAGGGTTAACAGGCCAAGCGAGCCCACTCTGTCTGCACTTTCTCTGCAACAGGAGAAATAATTCCAACGCTCTGACCAGACAAAGTCTCCTTCTCTCCCAGTCTTTCTTTCTTCTGATCACAAAGTTGTCCACTCTTCCCCMTCATGTTTCTGTTCATGTGTGCTATCATTTCTGTGCTGTCAGGTGTCTCTTCCTCAAGCTGATCTTTCTACGTAATGATGAGGATAGAGGTTGCTCATTTAAAGGTGCTGAAGCATTGCTGTGACAAAATAGATCCTCTGAGTGTCCAGAGTTCCTGCATATTGTGTCCGTGTCTCAATGTATGCCTGGGTCTTTGTGGGGCTTCGGGTGTGCTGCTAAAGCCTGCATGCATCCAAGAAGATCTGATGCTTTGCAGGAATTGCAAGGTTTTTTGCTTTGTTTTTTTCCCCCATGCGTGCATGCATGCGTGTGTGCGTGTGTGTGATACAGAAATACAGGCCGTATGCTTCCCCTCAGCGATCAAATCAAATAGRCCCCTCATCTCCCAGAGAAGCTCATTCAGAAACGACAGCAGTGAGTGACAGTTGCCGTGGGCGCTGAAAGCAAACACAGGAGCACAAAACCAGAACTTAAATTTATCTGTCATGGAGCTGCAAAACAGTATGTGAGTTGGATCTTGATTTGGCCGGCAATATGCATTCAAGCATGCGTGTTCTCATAAACGCCAAAAGGAGGAAGAGGTCTGGTTCTACTTAGGAGGCATGGCTTTGGTGATTTGCAGACAGGAGAATAAGGTCTATTTTTCCCCTGCAAACCTGGCCTTTGTTTCCTGTGTTTCACTAGACAGGATATGACCTTGTTAATGGAGAATTGGGAGCTCTACCCTCCTGGTAATAAAAGATTATTGTCATTTCACAGGTATGACTACACAGCAGCTCATTTGCACACAGCATTACCTGACAAAAAAGTCAGCTGAGCCAATGTGATACTGTGTAGGTGTGAAGTGAAACTCAGATGGATGAATTTTGTTCTGCTGAAATAACTGTGATAAAACCTCGGGAGGTACAAGACTATAAATGAGTTTGCATTAGTGGGTAATGGACTTTTAGCTTCAGCAGTGGACATTAAATTAAACTTTTACTAACAAGTTTGATTTGTAATGTCCTGTAACAACATATATGGCATATAAAAAATCATGTTGTACACCACCTTTTATGTCATAATTTTAAACTAGGATTAGTTAATGATAAGATTAGAAAAGGCTACAGCTGTTTTGGTCAAAACTTTGAAATTATTTTTTATGTTACATCATGTTATAATGCAAGATTTTTTTAAAATCCATCCATTCGTCCATCCGTCCGTCCGTCCGTCCGTCCGTCCGTCCGTCCGTCCGTCCGTCCGTCCGTCCGTCCGTCCGTCCGTCCGTCCGTCCATCCATCCATCCATTATTTTCCATTTTATTCAAAGTCGGGTCCCAGGGGCAGCAGCCCAAACAGGGAAGCCCAGACCTTTCTTTCCCCAGCCACCTCTTCCAGCTCTTCTGGGAGGACTTCAAGGTGTTCCCAGGCCAGCTGAAGGACGTAGTCTCTCCAG